CTACTAAATTGTTTATCAATTTTTTCTCCTTCTGTTTTTTAAGTTTATAAGGTAACCATGTTCCTGGTTTATTTGCATTTTCAAAAAAGTTTTGCTTTGCCCTTTTAATTTGCTGGGCCAATTTTCCTGATTCTATTAAATTTAATTTATGTTTTATTATTTCCATTTGTCTTTTCAATATTTTCTTTTGTGGGTTTATTTGTAGTTCAAGTTCTAATTTTTTTAATTCTTCTCTTAACAACTGACATTGTTGTCTCTTTTCTTTATTTATTTTTTGCCATGTATTTATCGCTACGCCTCGAAAATATGCTTTGGCTGTATCCCATACATTTTGTAATGTTGTATCTTCTTTTTTATTTTCTTTGAAGAAAAAATCCATTTCTTTTGTTGCTAATTCTATAAATTCTTTCTCTTTTAACACTGATTCAAAGTCCATCTTAATTTTTTCTGCATTTCTTTCCACACCATTTTTAAAGGATTATGATCTGCCCAAATACCTAATTCTATGTCAATTTCCTGCATACTATATTAACCCTTAATTCAGGCGTCATCCAAATCATATCAATTCTAGTCCAAGATTTATGACTATTAGAATAAAATGTATATTGTGATTTTCCTGGGTTCGTTTCTCTCCAAATATCTTGTATACCAATTTTCTCTATCATGTTAAAAAAAGTCTTAGGTAATCTTTTTCTTCCTTGTTTCCCTGATTTACTGGTTTTATAATCTACTACTACCCATCTACTATTGCATTGAAATCCCCAATTAAGCATATATTTTGATATTCCATTTCTACTATTTTTCTGTGAAGGTTTTGATAAAAATTTTCTTGTTTGTTATTTGGTGCATATATTGCTAACAAAAGTATCTGTTTTTTATTTAAAAATATTTCTACCATTACTATTCTTCCTTCTTCATCTGGATAAATCATTTTGGAATCTATTGTCTCTTTAACACAGTGGTTCTCAACCTGTGGGTCGGGACCCCATTTGGGGTCGATTGACCATTTCACGGAGGTCGCCAAGCAAGGCTGTCTGCCATTTTTTTTTTCCCACCATTTTTTTTGTCCACCATTTTTTTCCCCTTTTCCGGCAGGTGCCTTACCTCCCTTGGGCTGGGCCAGCTGGTGGTCGGCCTGCTCCATCTCTGCCACTTGCCAGCTACGCCTCGACCGGCGCAGGGGGCGGAACCACGCATGCACGGCGCTCCCGGGCAGGGAAAGTCCTCGACTTACGACCGGTTGGGTAATCCTCAACTTACGACCGGTTTAGTCCTCGACTTACGACCGGTTTAGTCCTCGACTTACAACTGGTTGGGGTCGCGGCATTAAAAAGGTTGAGAACCACTGCTTTAACATATATAACTACTATTCTCTTTTTTTGTTGGGCTGATGTATAACAAAGTTTTCCAAGTTTTGGATTTTCCAAAAATTTACGAAGTTGTTTTTTATGTGTCTCTTGCAAACAAATTATATCAATGTTTAATTTCTGTAGTTGTTTGAAAATTCCTTTTCTTTTTGATGGGGAATTCAATCCATTTATATTCACTGAAAAAATTCCATTTTCCTTCTCCATTTTGATTTACTTATATTTAGGTTTTGTTGATCTCGTAATTCTCTGCTGTCTTACTGTTCCCTCATCTTCTTGATTCATCTTCTCTTTTTCTTCTTCCACTTGTGTAATTGTTTCCTCTATTGTTTGTTCTGTCTGTTTCTGGGTTTTTCCATCCTTTTGTTGATATTGTGTTCTTTTTCCTAGAAATGCTCTATATCTTTCATCAAAATCCTTTGCCTTCCACACTGAATCCAATCGATATCTTGTATTATTCCAATTGATTAGAATCCCTTCTGGCATCAGCCATCTAAAATTTACTCCTTTTGCAATCAGCTTTGTAGTCAAGAAATGATATTGTCTTCAAGTATCCCTTATTCTCTTGGGAATCTGTTTCAGCGCAATCTGGGGGTCCTCCTGGATTCGCGGCTGACGCTGGAAGACCAGTTGTCGGCCGTGACCAGGGGGGCGTTTTATCAGGTACGCCTGATCCACCAGTTGCGGCCTTTTCTGGACCGGGACGCCCTGCGCACAGTCACTCATGCCCTCGTTACCTCCCGCCTGGACTATTGTAATGCTCTCTACATGGGGCTCCCC